CCTTCTAAAGCAGCAGCTTATTCTTGAGGCATAATGTTGAAGCTTTAATTTGTCTCTCATTTGTTGCTTGCACTTCAGCTCTGCCCTTCCCTATCTTTGCTTGTGAGAGATGGCTGGAAAATGACTCTGTTTGCATGAGAACTGTTAAGGTTTCAAGTCTTGGTTTTGTTTCACATTGGAAGGACAACAAAGCCCTCAAAGAGTTTGCATGAAACTAAATTAATTCATGTGTTCTTTGAAAATCTGATTCATGGAATCCGTTGCCATGTTCATGTAACCACTACCATTTGTTTCCTTAAGTTTGGGCTGATCTGAGCCCATTTTGTAGGCTATCCAATATATCTTTGTAACAGCCTTGTGGGTTTTCTGAAACAATAGCACTTTTGTCAACAAATTTAGCTGGTTTCTAACTCACTGTGGTTTTTGTTGTGACCAATACATGAGAACAGCTTTATTTCCATTCTGTTTTTTCCTTCTGCTCTTCCCTCAGTTGCTGGAGCAGAATGAAAAGCTAACAGTCTGGTGCCATAATTTGCTAGTTTTGGAGAGACATAAGCTGTAATTTGATGAAGATTTGGCCGTTTTAGTTTGAGATAAGAGAGAGAAGTTGTGTTTTTAACAGAAGAGGAAGAATGGTTTGTGGGCACAGCAAGATGGAAGTGAAACCATTCTAAAATCCCTTTGTCAGGCATTGAAGTTGCCTGAGTGTGATGCATTGGGCTTGCCTGGACACCCACCAGAGCTGCTCTGTCACTCCTTCTCAGCTGGGAGGGAGAACACAATGAAAGGCTCATGGGTCAAGGTAAGGGCAGGGAGAGATCACTCGGCAATTGCCATCACATTAAAAATAGGCTTGACCTGGGGAAATCAGCTGCATTTATTACCAATGAAATCAAAATGGAAGAATGAGAAATAAAAGCTAAATGTTAACATATGTTCCCTCCCTTCCTTTGTGTTTCATCTTTATGTAGTCATAGAATTGCTCAGGTTTGGATCAAAAATAATCTCAGTAACCTGTTTGGAACTTGGCTATGTTTTCTCTTCCAGAAGAACAAAAAAAGAGCTATCTGTATTGCCAATTTCTTGCTGCCTATGAATAATGAAGGTGTCTTTGTTCCTGCAGGGCAAGGCCAGCAAACCATGCAGTCATCAGGGCACAGGTTCCGTGATGTCGAGCACCACCCGCTGCTCCCCGACACCGACAGCTATGACTCCTCTTCCTCGGAGGCTGACATGGCAGAGAGGGTCTGGTTCATCAGGGATGGCTGTGGCATGGTCTGTGCCATCATGACTTGGCTGCTGGTGGTCTATGCAGACTTTGTAGTGACTTTTGTCATGTTGCTGCCTTCCAAAGACTTCTGGTACTCTGTGATCAATGGGGTTCTCTTTAACTGCCTGGCAGTGCTGGCTCTGTCATCACATCTGAGAACTATGCTAACTGATCCAGTAAGTATCCAAGCATTCCTTGGCATTGGATTGTTCCCTCCTGTACCTCATCACCGGCAGAGAGGTTTGGAGAGCAGCTCCTGCTGGGAGAAGTACTGTTAGATTCAAAACCCCCAAGGTGGGATGATATCTGTACCTGCACCTTAAACACTCATGTTGTGCTCCTGAATTGCTTTTTGCAATATTGAATGTTCCCACTGAATTTTTTACTTTAATGGGGAATTCTCTCAGAGAGAACTCCTAAAGCCCAAATTTCTCTTGTTCCAGGGAGATTTAGGCTTATAAAACACATCTCATATTCACCTGTTCACCTGTCACTAAAGATGATAACTTCAGGCCGTGCTTCTAGCATTTTGCTGACAAAAATATGCTCCATTTCCGAACCATCTTCACAGTCTCAGACAGTCACCAGTTCCTTTCAATGAAAAGGGATGATAACTGTACCTGTCCTGTCCTTCTGTTAATGAAACTGAAAAGGAACAGTCAATATAAATTTAATTTGTGAGAGTATTAGACTCTAAGAAGAAGAAAGAAAGAAGCTGCAGTATAATGTAACAAGACAATACAATAAAAACAAGACAGTACAAGATAATGCAATAAGAAATAAAATTCATTTGTAAAATACTAACCCCTATCCTTGAGAAGCTAATAAAGTTTAGGTCTTCCCTCTCCTATTTTTTTCTTGCATTTTTTTTTTGTCAGGCATATTTTCCAAACTTGTATCTTCATCCAGTTGTAGCATTTGAAATGTTTCTTCCATTTATACACATGGAATAGCTCTAAGAGATGCTGCAAAAATTCAGTCACATATTGGCATAAAGGACTTCTGTCCTACATGATTCCTGCAGTATTCAGATGTTTGGAGTCAGAGGTAAGGGAGATTTAAGTTGAACACACATCGCAACAATACAGGTGTAAGAAGTCTTGAAAGAGCTCATTTCTTAAGACTTTTCAAGAGATGAAAGAGTTTATTTTGTACTAAAATCATTTTATCTTTTTTTTTTTAGGGAATAAACCTGAGGAAAGAGAAGTGAGGGGGAAAACCATCTATTTTCTCCACAGTTTTGAGGCAGTACCAGTGTCTAGAGAAGATGTGGGAGTGTTCAAGAAAACAGCAGGGTGTTGTGGTTAATGATTTTCTAGGGCTTTGATTTACTACTGAGCCCACACCCAGTGTTGAAATATTACTTCTACAGCCTGTGACAGGAAGAAAGTTAATGGTTTAAGGATGGATTGCTTAAAAATACGTCCTGGTGGAACTGGGTGTCTTCCTAGACCTGTGTTGTTGTTTATGGATAAAACATGATACAAATTGAGATGAGTCATTACTTTTTTCTC